AGACGTTTTTGACCAAATCTAAAATATTTTTAAAAGGAAAGGTGACTCATCAGCATGCTATCAGCAAATGATTAATCCGGATTTCACTGATTTTCATGTACTTCCGTCTATTTCCCGAGTGCAAGGCGGTGTTTTGTCAACAGTTCCCGTTACCCTTCTCTACTTCCACCTCTCTTACACAACGTTGTGTATCTTATTCGTTGAACTCACTGCTTTCCCGCAGGGGCGGAATCTAGTTTTAACGTAAGGGGGGGTTACCGGTAGATTGGCGCTACTACACCCAGCGTGCCGAAGCCACGCATCTGCTAGGAGGTCGCGGCACAAGCATCAAACGCCGTCAAAGCATTACAACCCCCCCCCGTAATTTTGGAATCTAGATGTTTCTCTTCTTGCATTTTGGGGCATCTTTTTCCCGCCCCCCCGCTCACATCAGCTGTGTATTAGGGTACGCATATGCTCGTTCGCTCCCTTTTGATAAGCAAACGCCGGCCGCCTATCTCAGGGGGGGGGAAATTCATAAAGCAACGAGTATATATATATATATATATAATATATTCGTAATTCTGCCGATGAAAACGAATTTGCCATAATGAGATTCGTGAGAGTGGTGAAGAATAGTGTATAATATCATAAATAGTATATATATATATATATATATATATATATATATTATATATATATATATCTATATAACACTCTTGATGAGTGGGCATGTAGCCGTAATTTTTGGGTTCGTCGCTTAACATTGTAACATAGTAAGATGATCCATGCGTACGAATTATTGTTATAAAGATTTCGAGAGCAGCACATGAGTACTGTGTGTAGCCAGAGAACGGAACTCAAACCACGCGAGTGTTGTATGGATTGTGTGTGACGCGGAGAGGCTCGGCCTGTATTTCTGCAGCCGGGCCTGCATGTTTTGGGGTTGTAGGAATGTTTACTAGCACTGTCTTAATTAACATAATATTTAAATTTAATTGGGTTAGAGTTAGGGTAGGGTTAGGGTTAGGGTTAGGCGCACTTTTAGGGTTTTTTGCATCATCTTAATATATCGTAAAATATATGTTAAAATTAGAAGTGCCTAGTAAACATATCCTACAACCCCAAACAGCCGGCTGCGTTATTTCTCTGCCGAGCTGTTTTACGACGTCGTAAATGGTTGTCGTGGTGAAGCATGTGTCGTACAGCCCGCGGCATTTACAAGGTGCGTAATTGTGTGATGTATGTGTTAGAGAAGAATTGCCATTTCTCAAGCATTAGGCATCATGAGGAGCGAAAATTATGACGAAACTCCCATAATTATAATTATAATCGTTTTTTTTCTATTCGTCGTTTTCTTCTTCTTCATTTTTATTTCTTTCTTTTCTTTTTCTTTTTCTTTTTCTTTTTCTTTTTCTATTTCTTCTTCTTCTTCTTCTTCTTCATCTTCTTCCTCTTCTTTTTCGTCTTCTCCTTCTTCGTCTTTTTTTTATTTTCATCTTCTTTCGTATCTTCTTCCTTTTCTCATCTCTTATTTTCTCGTCCCCCGTAATCCTTGTGAGAATTATCGTACTTTAAGGAGAGTAATCTTCTTAAAAATAATTATAATCTAAATTATAAACTATAATTATTAACAAATTAATAATGTTAATCTATAAATATTATTTATTTTAAATTATATATTATACAACTTATCAATTATAAATCCTACACTGCAGACGTATTATAGGAATCTATACAGTCGGACTAGACTATCCCGCGGTGGTTCGCATCTAAGGGAGAGCAATGCAATCGGACGATGTCACTAAATCGAATAATAGTCGAAAGAAATCGAGAGAACTGCGTGCGATAACAGAGGTCTTAGCTCCAGTCCGATCAACAGGTCAATGCTTATCTATTCGCACATTATCAATTGCATTAAATGATTTTTATTCGGCTCTTTCAGCGTAATGGTAATGTCAAGGCGCATATAATAATAAAATTAAATAGTAAATAAAGATGTATAAGCAAAACGGAAGGGGAGAGAGCACGCGGCGAGAGAGAGAAAGAGGAGCGAGCGAGCGAGAGAGAGAGAGGAGAGAGAGAGAGAGAAGAGAGAGAGAGCGAGAAAAGAGAGAGCAGAGAGAGAGATGAGAGAGAGAAGAGAGAGAGAGAGAGAGAGAGAGAGAAGAGTTAAGAGACAAGACATAGACAGACAGAGAGAGAGTTAAGAGATCAGACCTAGACAGAAGAGAGAGAGAGAGAGAGAGAGAGAGAGAGAGAGAGAGAGAGAGAGAGAGAGAGAGAGGAAGAGACGAAGAGAAGAGAGAGAGAGAGAGCGAAGAGAGAGAGAGAGAGAGAGGAGAGAGAGAGAGAGAGAGGAGAAGAGAGACGAGAAGAGGAGAGAGAGGAGAGAGGTTAGAGACCAGACAATAGACAGAGCAGAGAGGAAAGAGAGAGAGCTGAGAAAGAGAGAGAGAGAGTAGGCAGAAAGATGAGAGAGAAGAGAAAGAGAAAGAGAAGAGAGAGAGAGAGAGAGAGAGAAGAGAGAGAAAGATAGAAAGAGAGAAAGAGAGAGGTGGAGCGAGTTAGAGACAGAAGAGAGCGGGGGAAAGAGCAAGAAAGAGGGAGAAAGAGAGAGAAAGAGAGAGAGAGAGAGAGAGAGAGCAAGAGAGAGAGCAAGAGACGAGAGAGAGATGGAGAGGAGAGAGAGAAGAGAGAGAAGGAGAGATGAGAGAGAGAGAGAGATGAGGAAAGAGAGAGAGCGAGAGACAGCAGATAGGCAAGGGAGCGAGAAGAGAGAGACAGAGCATAGAGAGCGAGGCGCGAGGGAGGCCAGGGTGTCGTCACATCATATATTACACGCGGCGACGACGCACAATTTAATATTTTAAATTTATCTAATTAATTTTATTATATACAGCACAGTGGGAAGGGAAGATTCAACGAAACACTAGCGTCGTGGTCGTTGCTAAAACGGCGCCGCGACGTGGACCAGTGGTCGCGATGAGAGCCCCGTCTCCACAATCAGGCGGTAGCCGGGTTTAGCTTTGATAGGACTGGCTCATTTCCATGAATTCTTACCATAGCCTTATGTAGTAGAAGGTAATAAAAATTGTTCGAATCAGGCACGTCGGCTCAGTGCATATGGATTTCACTTACTAGGTTATGATTGTTAGTAAATAAGAAATACCTCGAACAATTATGAGTTGGCCGGGTTTTCAGATTTATTTCCTAAGAACGCGTTGTTGTTCTGTCTCAGATCTTTGCTCGGGTGCGGGGTGTGTGAGTGAGGTGGGGGGGGGGGGTGTGTGTGTGTTGTGTGTGCTGTGGCGGCCGTGCGCGTCGTGTGTGTGTGTGTGTGTGTGGATGGACGTTTGTGCGTGCTGTGTGGGGGGGGGGTGGAGCGGCCTACTTGCAGCCGGTTGCTTACATCCTGATACTGCTGCTTCATGTGTTACTAGTAAATATTTGCTCTGTGCGTGACGGCTGAGCATCCGTGCGTGGCGGGCGTACGCGCGAACGTGTGGTGTGCGACGTTGGTTTGTGATACATGATATATCTATATGATTTGACCAAATGTCTTTAAAAATTAAGGAGGAGTCATTACAGTCAATTAACAGTGCGACCTGAAAACTATTTATTTTTGCCAAAACAGGTAAATCCGACGTTATTCTCGGAATTTATCCTGCCATAAGCAGCCCATCCATTTATTTTGTAAATGTAAACGTAGATTTTGTGACACCTAATATGCATTCTACTTAATATCACAGAGCTGCGGAGATTCTGTCGCTTGACATATAAATAAGGATGAGATGAAAACAAGAACGGAAAAAGAGAAACCTTAGCCCTATACTTACTACGCGTTCAGTAACGTGGTTGCCTACAGAACAATTTAAAGACGATACAATCAATCGTCAGACTCGAATTTCATTTGCTGTAAAAAGAAAAAACGGGGCGATATCGCGGGGGTGTATCTATTTCGTAAACGGGATTTCGCAACTGTGGATAAGATTTTATCAAACAGCATATTTGTCGTGGGTTCCTTTATTTTAATCCACATGTACACCATCAACACGGGGGTTTCTAGAGTTGTTTAGCCGTATCTAAGGCCTTCGTGCAAGACGCCGCGATCAAGCTACACACGCTCTTCAAACTCGCGCCAGCTGCATAAATTGTCCCCATAGCTAGCACAGATATCGCTCGCTAGAATTATTGCTTTCCTTCATGATAGCGAATATACATAATTGCATATCTATGACCGATAAGTTTAAAGTGCGTTTTTTCTTCTATTGCACGTTCTCGTCACTAAAGCCCAGTTTACACGATTAAGACAGATCATGTTGTATTTTCGTTTTCTATTCGCAAATGCCACCGTATAGTGGAAGCATCTTACTTCCAACAACCATCTTTCCAGTTGAACTAACACGCTGGTGTTTTTTTTATTTTCGAGGTTACCTGTGGCACATTCAACAGTGCTTCACCGCATGCATAAGAAAAAACAACGCAAACGGAATACAAACCCGATGACGTTTCAACTTCAAAGTCAACAGAAGCTTCTCCGCGTGCGAAGTTGTCCACAGTTTTTTTCGCCCCCACACGGACGTATAATAAAAACATGTTTTTTTCGCAGCTCGACAAATAAACACACGCCACGCGGTTGCTTTCGGCGGAAGCAAATAAAAAGGTAAGCAGGCCTATCGCGCCTAGATTTCACATTCCATCACCCTCCGGCTAATACACGTAGGCGTTTACATTCTACTTCCGCCACACGCGCAACGTTCAAATCCATCTCAGTCATCAAATAATTACAGCTTTTACAAATCACCCCTCCTCCGGCACACAGCAGGCACCGCGCCGGGCGTAATTTAAAATTCTACTCTCCGATTAACAGACTAACAAAATCACTGCAACAACGCGTAACGGACGCCATTTGCCATTGCCTTCCATCATGTGGGACATGCTTCCGCTCAGCTAGCACGTCTCTTGCGAGCAATTCAGAACACTAAACAGATGCTCACACTAGCTCTCAGACGCTTCGACTGTCACTGTGATGGGAGTGAATTTCTCTGCTAGCTCGTGTAATTCAGGGCCGCTCGCGCTCATCCGGGTGATTTTTAGGTGCCTATGGTCTGGACTTAAGCGACTGGAAAGAGCCAATGGAATGAGAATGATGCGAGCAGTACTGTTTAAATGAAGATGTTTTCTGCATGACACAGAGCGTGAGCATCACAATGCATTAAACAGTAGTCAGACAAAATATTTGCTGCATGATAACAAAAGTTAGAACTGATGCTGCACACCGACGCAATAAACCCAGTTTCAACCATATTCTAGGCATCCGCGATTTTAAATGATTATGCTCAAGGATTTAGTTAACATGTTAGGGTTAGGGGTTTACGAAGAGGTATGATTAGTGTTATGGTGGGTGGCGACAGTTAGGATTATGGGTCGTAGCGTTAGGGTTAGGCGTTATGGTTTCGGGTTAGAACAATTAGGGGAAAGTGTTATGGTTAAGAGTTAAGCATTAAGGGAGAAAGTGTTACGGTTCGCGGATATAATGACGGACGACGTCACGATGGATACCTATGACGACGACTGATGATTGGCCCGATGACGACAACATTGACGAACGACGATGAACCGATGGATGATTAATGCACGCTGACGTCCACATTACTGATTATCGCGAAATTCCTGACCATACCATCGGCAGTCAACAGTGTTCACACGGGATTGGCATGCAACATGCTGACTACTATACTAGCATTACGTAATATCATCAACATCAGCACCTTCGCTTTCAACGCCATAACCGTTTTCTTGAAACAACCGTGCGATGTCTGTGTACGTGTGCTGTATATAATATTATTCATATATCGAATTTTATTATTATTAATATTATTATTGTCATATGTACGTTAACGCTCTCTATTCTTCATTATTATTATCATTATACAGGACTGCACACTCTAACTTACAGATAAACAACTTGGCTATATTTCAACTATATTCTTAAGACATCCTACAAGGGCTGATACACAAGCTCACACACGGGCGTAACGCCCGGAAAATCCACAAACGCTGGTATGTATACACGCCTATAAACAACACCTATAGACAGCATACATCACTTTACATACATGCCATACATAACAAGCAGGCACGCACGCATCGGCACACGCGCACGCCACCGCACGCACGCACGCACATGTTATATATACACACATACATTACATACATACATACATAACCAATACATACATACATACATCCATACATGATACACACCACACACACCACACACACACACACACACACACACCACACACAACACACCACACACACACACACACACCACACACACACATCACACACACATCACCGTACATACATACATACATACATACATACATACATACATACATACATACATCGCATGCAGATGGCCATGCATTGCATGCATGCAGATATCCATACATACATACAATAACATATATTCATGTAATGGTATATATAATATCAAACACGTTTTCGGCAATGTTCATTTCAAGTAAGTTATGTATCCTAGGCCCCGCGCACGTAAACATGCACTACGGGGCTCCTGTGTTCTGCCTTGCGCCGAAATTAATTCTCTTAAAATCTCTCTATACATACAAGTGAATGGCATTTAACCTCATCATCGCATACATTTATGCATGCTGTTTATGAGCGCGGGGCCATTCCATTGTGTGTGGCTGTGTATAAGGCCTTGTAAGATGTCGTTAAGAATATAGTTAAATTATAGCCAATTGTTTTCTGTAAGTAGAGTGTGCAGTCTGTATAATGATAATAATAATGAAGAATAGAGAGCGTAACGTATAATATGACTATGTATATGTATGGATGTATGTATGTATGTATGTATGTATGTATGTATGTATGTATGTATGTGTGTGTATATATACATGTGCGTGCGTGCGTGCGTGCGTGCGCGTGTGCGTGCGTGCGTGCCTGCTTGTATGTATGCATGTATGTAAGTATGTATGTGTCTATGTGTGTATGCGTGTATACATACAGGTTTGTGATTTTCCGGCGTTACGCGTGTGTGGCTGTGTATAAGGCCTTGTAAGATGTCGTTAAGAATATAGTTAAATTATAGCCAATTGTTTTCTGTAAGTAGAGTGTGCAGTCTGTATAATGATAATAATAATGAAGAATAGAGAGCGTAACGTATAATATGACAATAATAATATTAATAATAATAATAATGATAATGATAATAATTATATACACACACGTACACAGACATCGCACGGTTGTTAGAAAACGTTATGGCGTTTGAAAGCGAAGCTGCTGATGTTGAGGATATAGTAATCTAGGTAGTAGTCGCATGTTGATGCAATCCCGTGTGAACACTTGTTGACGTGCCGATGGTATGGTCAGGAATTTCGCGATTAATCGTAATGTGGGACTCAGCGTGCATTAATCATCATCGTCATCGTCGTCGTCAATGTTGTCGTCATCGGCATCATCATCGTCGTCATAGGTATCATCGTCGTCGTCGTCATTATATCCCGAACCGTAACACTTTCCCTTAATCCTAACTCTAACCATAACACTTTCCCCTAATTCTAACCCTAACCATAACCCTAACCCTAACCGTACCCATAATCCTAACTGTCGCCACCACCATAACACTAATCATACCTCCTTCTAACCCCTAACCCTAACATTAACTAAATCCTTAAGCATATCATTAAAATCCGCGGATCCTAGAATATGGTTGAAACTGGGTTTAATGCGTACCCGTGTGCAGCATCTAGTTCTAACTTTGTATCATGCAGAAAATATTTTGTCTTACTACTGCTTTATCATTTGATGCTCTGTGTCATGCAGAAAACATTTCATTAAACAGTACTGCTCCATCATTCTCATTCCCATTGGACTCTTTCCAGTCGCTTAAGTCAGACCATAGGCTAAAAATCACCATGAGCGAGCGGCCTGAAATTACACGAGCTAGCAGTAAATTCACTCCATCAACAGTGACCAGTCGATAACGTCTGAGAGCTAGTGTGAAGATCTGTTTAGTGTCTGAATGTGCTACGGCAAGAGAGTGCACTGAGGGAACATGTCCCCACATGATGGAAGGGCAATGCAAATGGCGTCTTTACGCGTTGTTGCATGATTTTTGTTGTCTGTATCGGAAGTAGAATTTAAATACGCGCGTGTCTGCTGTGCCGGAGGTGGGATTTGTAAAAGCTGTAATTATTTGTGACTGAGATGGATTTTGAACGTTGCGCGTGTGGCGGAAGTAGAATGTAAACGCTACGTGTATGTACCGGAAGTGAAATGTGAAATCTAGGCGCGATAGGCTGCTACCTTTGTATTTGCTCTGCGAAACAACCGCGTTGCGTGTTTATTTGTCGACTGCGAAAAAAACTGTTTTTATTATACGACGTGTGGGGAAAAAAACCTGTGGAAACTCGACCGGAGAAGCTTCTGTGACCTTGAAGTTGAACGCACATCGGGTTTGTTTCCGTTTGCGTTGTTTTTTCTTTGCATCAGTGACACTTTGAATGTGCCAAGGTACTTCGGAAATAAAAAAAACACCAGCGTGTAGTTCAACTGAAAGATGGTTGTGGAAGTAGATGCTTCACTTACGGTGCATGCGAATAGAAAACGAAAAACACATGAATCTAGTTTAATCGTGTAACTGTAGCTTTAGTGGACGAGAACCAAAGAAGAAAAAAACGCACTTTAAACTTATCGGTCATGATGCAATTATGTATATTCATATCATGAAGGGAAAAGCAATAATTCTAGCGATGCGATATTGTGTAGCTATGGGGAAATTTCTGCAGCTGGTCGCGAGGTTTGAAAGCGTGTGTAGCTGTCGCGCGTCTGTCACGAAGGCCTTAGATACGGCTAAACAACTCTAGAAACCCCGTGTTGATGGTGTACATGTGATTAAAATAAAAGGAACCCACGACAAAATGCTGTTGAAAAATCTTATCCGCAGTGCGAAAATCCGTTTACGAAATAGATAACCCCCCGCGAATCGTTTTTCTTTTACAGCAAATGAAATTCGAGTCTGACATTGATTGTATCGTTTTTAATTGTTTTGTAGGACACGTTACTAACCGTAGTAAGTATAGGGCCTAAGGTTTCTCTTTTTATCCGTTCTTGTTTTCTCTCATCCTTATTTTATGTCAACGACAGAATCTCACCAGCTCTGTGATGATTAAGTAGAATGCATATAGTGTCACAAATCTACGTTTACATTTCAAAATAAATGTTGTTTTTTCCTATATGGATGGCTGTTATGGCAGGTAAATTCGAGATAACGTCGATTTACCTTTTTGGCAAAAATAATAGTTTTCAGGTCGCACTGTTAATTGACTGATAATGACTCCTCCTTAATTTTTAAAGACATTTGGTCAAAATATATATATATATCACGTACTCACAAACCAACTCGCACACACACGTTCGCGCGTACGCCCGCACGCACGGATGCTCGCCGTCACGCACGAGCAATATTTACTAGTAACACATGAAGCAGCAGTATCAGCATGTAGCAACCGGCTGCAATAGCCCTCCACCCCCCCCCCACACAGACGCACAAACGCATCCACACACACACACACACACACACACGACCGCACAGCACCCACACACACACACACCCCCCCCCCCTCCCCACCTCACTCACAACACCCCGCACCGAGCAAAACTGAGACAGAACAACAACGCAGTTCTTAGGAAATAAATCTGAAGAACCGCGCCAACTCATAACTTGTTCGACGGTATTTCTTACTTTACTAACAATCATAACCTAGTAAGTGCAAGATCCATTATGCATGAGCCGAGTGCCTGATTCGAACAATTTATTCCTTCTACCTACATAAGGCTATGGTAAGATTCATTGGAAAATGAGCCAGTCCTATTCAAAGCTAAACCCGGCTTACCGCCTGATTGTGCGAAGACGGGGCTGCTCATCGCGACCACTGGTCCACGTCGCGGCGCCTTTTAGCAACGCCCACGACGCTAGCCTGTTTCG